AGGTCGGAGAGGAGACCAGGGCAACTGGAGGGTCTCAGGGACTCTGGCTCTCACTCTGGCTGAGCTGGGGAAGCCTTGGCGCGTCCTGAGTAGGGAGCGACAGGACTTAACTTGGATTTTAAGAGGCCTGCTGTGTCAGGCCTAGACCTGTAACAAGGGTGGAGGCAGAGTCCTGCCTAGAGGCTGCCACAGTCATCTAGGTAAGAGGAGATGGTGGGCAGCATGGGTGAGGGTGGAGGTGGTAGGAGACAGTCAGATTCCTGCTGTGTGCTGAAGGTCAAACTGAGAGGATTTTCTGATGGGTGGCACCAGAAGAGTGAGAAAACAAAATGTCAAAGATTTTTTTGGCCTGAGAAGCTGGAAGGATGAGGTTGACATTCACTGAAATAGAAAAGGCTCTGGGAAGATTAGGAGTTCTGCTAGGGATGTGCCAAGTTCAAGATACTTATTAGCTATCTGAGCTGGGTGCGGTGATGTGTGTCTATAATCCCAACACTTTGGGAGGCTGAGGCAGGAGGATTAACTTGAGGCCAGGAGTTTGAGACCAGCCGGACAACATAGTGAGATCCCGTCTTTACAAAAAATAGAAACATGTATCCAGGTGCGGTGGTACACACTTATATTCCCAGCTACATGGGAGGCTGAAGCAGGAGGATTGCTTGAGCCCAGGGGATCGAGGTTGCAGTAGATTATGATTAGACCACTGCACTCCAGCCTGGGCAACAGAGCAAGACCCTGTCTCTTAAAAAAAAAAAGTATTAGCTATCTGGATAGAAAAGGGATGGAGTAGGTAGGTAGGTATAGAAGTCTGGAGTTCAGGGGAAAGGTCTGGGCTGGTGGTAAGCAGTTGATAGTTATTTGAAAACACACAGGTGATATTTAAAGCCACAAGGTGGGACTTGATAATTAGAGAGTGTGTGTAGATGAGGAGAGCCCAGGACTGAGCCCCAGAGCTCCCCAATGTTAAGGAAGTGAAGATACAAGCAGAAACTCAGCAAAGGCTTCCAAGAAGGAACAACAGGTGAAGGAAGGAAGGGCAGAACCAAGAAAGAACCGTGTTCATAAGCCAAGGGACAACAGTGATTCGAAGATAAGACATAGTTGGCTATATCTGATGGACGGTCTTGGAAAGAGATATTTGAATGCAGCACTGGGAGAGGAAGCCTGACCAGAGAGGATTTGGGAGAGAATGGGAGGATAAGAATCGGAGACAATGGGTAGAAGCAACTCTCTTGAGTATTGTTGCTGAAATACACAAAAGGAGGCAACCTAAGGCTACAAGAAACAGGGGCATTGGTCTAGTCTGTAGCTGACATTTTTATAGATGACATCACCAATCCAGTACCTTGGTCTACACTCTCCACTGTTGACACTATTCCAGTGAGAAAGGGTGACAGGCTAAACAAGCCCTTTCTTTAAGCTCTAAGAAGAGCCACTCTTTTTATTGGCAACCCACAGAAAACCAGACACACTTGCTGCTTGTATGCAGAAGCATGGAGCTTACGCGCAAGGCTTCTCACAACTGCAAAACATCTCAAGTATCAACATCTCTAAGGGTAAAAATCTCTTCCTGGACTGTGCAGCAGGTAGAAAGAAGACCTCGTATTTGAGGTGCTGTGTCACGTCTTCACCTTCCTGATGAGAGAATTCCAAGGAGGGTGTCACCTCTTCCTGACCACTACAAGACAGTACTACCAAAATTATTAGAATCATTTTTATTTCATGCGTATATTTTTGAGTCAGGGTCTCACTCTGTCACCCAGACTGAAGTGCAGTGGCACGATCACAGCTCACCACAGCCTCGAACTCCTGGGCTCAAGCAATCCTTCCTCCTCAGTTTCCCGAGTAGCGGGGACTATAGGTGTTTGCCACCACGCCTGGCGAGTTCTACCACTTGTTTAAATGCAGATGGAGACAGGGCACCTTCCTTAGAAGTGTCTTCTGTCGTGGAACCTGAGCTGCTTGATCTAATCGAATTCTCCCTTTTAATTCACTGCAGCATGAGTGGCTCTCAACCATTTTCATCTCTAATTAAGGATCTCTGTACTAGAGCAATTACTGCGGCTATTTCTGTTGATAGCAATCTCTGCAGTCTCCTTGTGGTAGACTGTACGGTTTGTTTACCCTTCCTCATTCACGCTTCTCTGTAGGTACGGCACGCATCTTTGTCCCACTGCTTTGAGGCAGCCACGTGACTTGCCTTGGAGTGGAATTCCAGTGGAATGTGAACAGCTGCGACAGAGTCACCTTTTAGCATCAGTCTTTGATGGTTTGTGAACCCCCTTTTGTGAACATTTGACCTCAGCCATGGGAGCCACATGGCCTCTCTGGCGGCTGCTCCTTCGACTGGACTCTGGGGTTAGACGACACACAGAATGTGGTCAAGCCCAGAGCCCAGCTGAGTACAGCATCCTCGTGTGCCACAAGCCAGTCTCTGTTGTAAGCCACCGCCACCGAAAGTTGGGAACTGTCTGTTCCTGCGTCAAAAGCTGATTGATACACTCTTTTATTGGATGGCCTAATTCCTCATGAATATAGGATATGCCCTAATACCCCTAATAAAAATTGTGGGCCCTTCATAAATACATACATATCCTGTCCATTGTAGCTTGGTTGGCTGAAGTTTTGAATTAATCTCTAATTCCTATCAGTGACACATTGGCAAGCTCCTTAAAGTCATGTTCAAAGTCACTCTCATGCTCTCCTCCCACTTCCTGATTTGGGTCTACTGAGTTATGGCTTTAGGGGAATTGGGTTTTGGCCGACACACATACATTGTTTCTATCCCTAAATACTCCCAAATGGTTAAGGCCAAAGAGAGAAGGCCTGTTTTCATTGTATTTGTGTGGCTCGGCTTGGGTTCCTTTTAAGCTTAAGACAGGCCACGAGCTTTGGCCCAGGGAGTTTCATGCAAAGAAAACAGTCAGACTCCTGCTTTTGCTTATTCAGTAAATTCCCCTCTCTCATTTAGAGACCGATTTAGGCATTGTGCAGGAATCAAGGCAAGATAAGGCACACTTCTGGGGCTTATACGAGGGGACCCCCCCAAACCTAGAATTTATTCATAAAAAAGTGTATATTTATTCTTACGAGTATAAACTTCAGTTACCTTCAAAGTAGTCTCTGCTCAAGGGGATACGTTTTTCCCACTGCTCAAAACAGGTATTGAACTCATCAACTGGGATGCCTTTTAGTGCTTCTGCTGTTTGTTTGTTTATTTATTTGCGTTGGAGTCTCACTCCGCCTCCCAGGCCAGAGTGCAGTGGCACACTCACAGCCACCACAGCCTCGACCTGCTGGGCTCAGCTTTCCAAGTCACTGTGTATTTTGTTTTCTCTCTCCCACATCAGCAAAATGTTTCCCTTTGAGAACTCTTTTCATTCAGGGAAACAAAAAAAAAAGTTGCTTGGGACGAGATCTAGTGAATAGGGAGTGTGGGACACAAGGGTCAAACTGCTGAACACTCAACCTGGTGTGGGCAGGTGCAATGTCAGGGTGGAAGAACCAGTCACCTGTTTACCACAGCGTGGGATGTCTCTTCAACAAATCGTGACACAACCTTCTCCAAACGTCCAGATAAAAACTTTGGCCGACCATTTGATCTGGAGGAACAAATTCCGAGTGGATTACGAGGGGCCTGCCCTCCAAAAGATAATTCTGGATTTTTTTGGGTCCCCCTCGTAATGTAGTTGAAGAGACGGGATATATGTGTAAAAATCTAAGGCACTCAAGGGTTCTATACCACTTGATTCTTGAAAAGACACAGTGCCGTTTCATAAGAAAGAGTTGGTCTGGAAGTTAGGAGACCAGATTCTTGTCCTGGCTCTGCTGCTAGTTCATTAACGACACGGGAAGATGTTTTTATGATTCTGTGCATGCACAAAAAAGGAATGAACAGATTGCTGGAAGGCCTCTCCCATTTCTATGGTTTTATGACTGTAAGGGACACCACCCAGCAGCATGCAGGTGATCAGGTGCTCGGTGCATGGCATGGGTAGGAGAGGCTGTGTGTTCGGAGAGCCTCTGTCTTTCCACCCCTGACCCCATCTCCAAGTGCATCTGGTTCCAGCCCTTCCTTTGGTGTCTCCCTGTCTTGAGTCATAGACCAGCCCAGCCCAGAAATCTGATGGAGCCGAACTGAGGGTGGCACATCTCAGCAAATGAGTCCGGAATTGTGCTCAAATATATAAATGGAACGAGGAAGAGTAGGAGGGTTCTCCTAAGGCTGACAGCCCCACGAGCTACTTGGGCTGGAGTCTGCCGGAGGGTGTCTGAGGCACTGTGCTCAGTGGCTGGTGTGCCATAATGGTTCAGGCTTCTGGATGACAGACAGAAGGGAAGTTGTCCACGTGACTGAGTTCCAGATAGACATCTCCAAAGCTCTTCACCTGATTCAGAGAGGTGAACACTCACTCCCCATTCCTTGGGAGAAGCCAGTTCTCCCCACGACAGGTGACACGTCCCTGGATAGGGCTTTTGTTCCACCTAATTAACTCACCTAACGTGAAAGGAGGAGAGGGCTGGGAGAAATGGCAACCTAGAACTTGTGGAACATCCACGAATGTTCTCCTGCTTGTTCTTCAGGAAAATACAGACAGTAGAGATCAATCTCATTGGCTAAAATACCCTCAAGCCCCTGGGATTAGCTGGCTCTGCTCACTGGGCTCTCTTGCAGCAAATGTATTTAAATTCCCAGTCCAGGGCCTCGCCGGACACTCAGGTGGCCCTAGGACTGTTTCCTTTGCGTAGGCTGTCTTCATCTAGGGGAGCCACCGCTGGGAACTTTCTCCTGGACTTTGCAGGAGCGGGGACCATAGTGCAATTTAAGGTACTTGCATCAGAGTTGGGTTCTTTGAATGGAAGGAGATCACTGTTTTAAGAAAACCCCTCTCTTTACATGGCGCCAGTCTCCCTTTGCAAAGGGCTCTTGCAATTCAGCAAAGGACGCTGCAAGGTGGTGACAAGATAACATTGTCAACAAGAAACAGGGCTTTACTTACTGGGAACTCCAGACACCAGCCGCAAGGGACGCAGCACGCGGAACGCCCTCAGCGCCTTCACGTCGAATCCAGCCCCTTTCCCTCCTAGAGCGTTGGACCCCTCTGCTTTGGTTGCTTGTTCTAAAATTGCACTGAAAAGCCTAGAAGAGAGGAAAAAGAGAAGAAGCTGTCAGGACCATGTGGTGTGGCCCAGGTGGGGCTCTGACCTCTGACCGCAGCCTGGAAGGGCAGAGTTTGCAGGCATCTCCAGCCCAGGGGCAGGCACTGTGGGTTTGTGAGCGGGGAGAGTCCAAGAATGGTTACCACTGGCAGTCCCTCAGAGTGGGCCTCACTCATGCCCAGGTGTGTGCGGGAGGGCCCATGAGTGGTTTTGGTTGACAGTCCCTCAGTGTGGGTCTCACCCCCCCAGGGTGTCACCACGGCCCAGGGAGGCCTGAGTGAGGTGAGAGCCAGGCCCGTCGCCATCATAAAGGCATGAGCTGGACCAGCCCTGGACGAAGATGGGAAGAAGGTCAAGTTAGCTGTCGGTGACCCTGTCTCCTTATTGCATGCTCTTCCCCTTTCCCGGGTGCCATTGCTCCCCTGCCATGGGTGCCAGCAGCTACCTGCTCCTCCTAAAAACCTCTTCTCTTTGACTTGTTCCTGGGTACAAATAAACGAGCCCACAGAAACAGACCTTGTGTGGGTGCAGGATAGCTGCTCAGGAGACGTGCTGAGCAAATGAGTGAAGGGTGGATGGTTAAACGAAAATGTCTCAATGGAGCAAAGCCACTCCTTGAGGCGTGTAACCGAGGCACGCGAGTGTCAGCTCTGGAGCTTTGAGTCTGGGCTGGAATATTCACTCCTCCAATAAACATGAACACCTACTATGTGCCGGGCACAGCGCTAGACACTAAGGGCTTGGCCCGGCAGAAGCCCAGGGCCAGGCAGGGCCCAGCAATGAGGGGTTGGTCTAGGTAAAGGATTTTCAAACTGTGTTCCGTGGAGCCCCCGGGGACTTCTTGGGCACCTAGGCCCAAGCTGAGTGGCTGGGATTATGACCCCTCCAGTCCTGATTTAACAGGGTCTATTCTCTTCTGTTTTGTGTATTAGAACTCGGGGTAAGACTTTGAACAGGGGGTTCTGTAGCTTAGAGAAGTTGGATAGCCCTGGCCAGACCGTGTCTGCAATCTCTCTCTACGCTGTGATTCTGTCTCCTCAGCTTAGCAAAGTGAGGGCTTCCTGTGTTAGCTGGTGATGCCTTGAAGCCCAGGAGAAGTCGCCCGGATGGGGAGATTGGGCTCCTTTTTCTGCAAGAGAAATGCTCTTTCCACTGAAGTCTAGACCACTGAAACCTGAGGAAATGAAGACCATTTTGCAAATTTGTCCAATAACATTTCAAGTCCAAATGAGATTTTGTTCCCAGTATTTCCTGGAAGAAAGCAACATGCTCATCGGAGTACAAGATGTTCACAGAGTTAAGATTCAGTGAGGGGGGCGGAGATCAGACAACTTTCTTGTCTTTTAACCTTTTCTCTGGCTTGAGATTGTTTATTGTTTTTTAATTTAATTTTTTTTTTGAGTCGGGGTCTCACTCTGTCACCCAGGCTGAAGTGCAGTGGCATGATCGTTACTCGCTATAGCCTCGACTTCCTGGGCTTGAGGGATCCTTCCACTCCAGCCTCCTGAGTCACTGTGAATACAGGTGCATGTCCCCATGCCTGGCTACTTAAACAAAAATAATTTTTTTAATAGAAACAAGGTCTCACTATGTTGCCCAGGCTGGTCTTGAACTCAAGCAATTCTCCTGCCTTGGCCTCTGAAAGTGCTGGGATTACAGGCATGAATCACTATGCCCAGCCATTCATTTTGGTTTTTTTTTGCTTTTTTAAGAGAGGGTCTCACTCTGTTGAGACCCAGGCTGGGGTACAGTAGTGCAATCCTAGCTCACTGCAACTTCCAACTCTTAATCTCAAGGAATCCTCCCACCTCAGTCTCCTCAGGAGCTGGGACTACAGGCATGCACCACAATATTTGGCAAATTTTAAAAATTTTGTTGTAGAGATGGAGTCCAGCTGGTCTTGAACTCCTGGCCTCAAGCGATCCTCCTGCCTCAGCCTCTTAAAGCCACAGTTTAATAAGTTTACTAATTATCTATCTGCTTTTAATTTTGAAGAGATAGACAATTAAAACATGGGCCTAGGAGATTTTCTTTCTGGCTTGGAGTGGCCAGTGTATTTTTCCTCAGTGAGACAATGGAAGGATGAAACCACTGTTCCGTGCTCACGGCTCCCTAAGGGTTGGGCTCTGACGTGGATGCTTGGTGGGGGATTTTCCAGGAGGTGTGTTTGGCAGGTCTGTAGCCAGGCAGCAGAGCTTGTAGACAAAGAGGACAGTGAGGCTCTAGAGGCTTCAGAAGATAGGAGAGGCAGGGCCACCATGCTATGAGGGAGATAGGGACATCACAAAGCCTTGGTGGCTGGAGCGGAATGTCTCGAGCAGGGGACCAGCTGAGGATGCTGCCGTTTCTGGGCAGGGTCGGGGGAGGTGGCTCCCAGAAGCCCCCACGGTCCCTCCAGGTTCACTCAGCAATTCCTCCTCCCCACCAGGGAGACCCCTCTGCTTCAATAAGGAAATGTGGCAGGATGGTTGGTGGGGGTCGGGGGGAGGTAGGACGTGCTGCTTGTCACATGCCACCAGAACGGCGATCCAGAGATGAGAGGGGGCTCTCAGCCTGGTACTCGGGCAGCAGATCCCCTCTGAATTATAGGCGCCAGGGGAAGCTCTCCCCTCTGACTGGCTACAGAGCAGGGGTCGAGGAGAGCAGAGCCGAATTTCCCAATAAACACAGGGAAGCAGAGGGGTACCCATTTAATATGATAAAGGGGACAGGAAAAGGGGCAAGGCTGAAGAGAGGCGGTGAGCCACCCCCTCTGGGGATGGGGGACAGTTTTTCTAATTAATAAGATGGGCTGATCTGGACTGGATGGAGAGCCCCTAGGAGAGGAGAAACTGGGAGCCAACTATGGCCAAGCGTGAGCTCCTAGGGGGAAAAACACAAAGGGTCACGGTGAATCACAAGCTGAGCAAGGGCCAGCATCATGACCTCCGGGGTGTACAAAGCCACTCGGCGGCATCTTTTAGAGGAGCGCCAAATCCTGATGCCTCCCTCTCCTCGTCAGCCTCAAGGCCTAGACTCTGGGGAGATGTGCCCGGAATCTGGGCCGACCCCACAGATGGGTTGGCTGGGGGGAGAAGCAACAGTCTAAGGAATGAAGCCCAAAGTGTGGGCCAGAAATGCACCCAAGCGCCATCTCCCTGTGCAATTCGGGCACCGGCACCTCCTCCAGCCCCTCTCCCCCAGGGCCCCGTTTGGGGTCTACCTCATATTCCTTGTCTCCACCCCCCTTGCTTCGGTGAAGGCCACGCCTGGCACACAGCACGGGCAGTCAATGCCAACTCGGTCCCAAACGTGGCTTCTTTGACTCCACAAAATCCATCCCGGCAAGTCTCCCTCGTTCCTCTGCTGATCCCAGAAACATCAGATGTCTTTTCAAGGCTCTTTTCCATGTGCTGGGAAAGGCTCCCAGAAGACTGAGGCCTTGAGAAAGATGCTGAATTTGGAAAAGGATTCCGGGCGTTTGAAACAACCCACCTTAAGGACCCTGGCTGTGGTTCACCAAGTTAATTCATGGCATTTGTGGAGTGACTCTTGTTTATTCTGGTGTGAAAAGCAGCAGCAGAATCTCTCCCGTAGTTGCACTGGTACCTTGTGTGCTCTGAGCCAGACCCCTACCTGGCTGATAATGCTAACGTCCTTAGAGTGTCCCGTGTCACCCACATATCCCTGATGTTCACGTGTGGTCAAAGTGCATCATTCATTGCCAGGCAAAACACGGCAACAAAGAAGAAACCCTAGCTCAGTTCCAAACAGCCCTTATGAGCCAACCCAGATGGCCAGAGACAAGGAAATCACTTGCAAATGATCTTGACGTACTCCCACGTTATTCCCTGCAGTAAAGACCAGGCGGTCCCACGAGACACTCGATGGCGTGTGCCGTGGAGAGGTCCACGATGGCTGAGTCTCTGCTGGGATAGCACCAAAGGATTTGCCAATCATAGGTCCCAGGGATAAGAGCCTCCTGACATTCTGGCCCTGACACTGAAGACTGTCAGGACTCCAGAGGAGAGAAAGGACAAGGTGACTGCCACTTGGGCACTCACTGGGGACAAAGTAACAAAGGACCAGTGGGAGGCGCTGGCTTGTTCTTGAAATAGAGCCTGCTATAGAACCCCCCCCTTATAAAACAGATGTGCTGTTGGGATATTATCAACTGTGTTTCACCAGTGTATCACCAGGGTATGGAAGCCTGTTAGATACAAATATCTCACGGAGAATCTTTTTGGGAAGTTTCTAAATTATTTGATTGATTGATTTATTGAGTTGGAGTCTCACTCCGTCACCCAGGCTGGAATGCAGTGGCACGCTCATAGCCATTCCAACATTGACCTCTGGTGATCCTTCTACCTCAGCCTTCCAAGTAGCTGGAACTACAGGCACGCTTGCGTTACCACGCCCAGCTAATTTTTAAAAAATTTATTTATTGTAGAGACGAAGTCTCACCAAGTTGCCCAGGCTTGTCTCGAACCCCTGGGCTCAGGCAATCCAGTCGCCTCTGCCTCCCAAAGTGCTAGGATTACAGGCTTGAGCCACTGTGCCCGGACTTTTAATTTTTTAAATTGAGTTGGGAGTCTCACTCTGTCACCCAGGCTCGAGTGCAGTGGCACAATCTTTTGTTTACCGTAGCCTCAACCTCCTAGGCTCAGGCGATCCTTCTGCTTCAGCCTTTCGAGTAGCTGGGACCACAGGTGCATACCACCATGCCTGGCTAGTTTAAAAAACTTTTTTGTAGAGATGAGGCCTCGCTGTGTTGCCCAGGCTAGTCTTAAACTTCTGGACTCAAGCAATCCTCCCGCTTTGGCCTCCCAAAGTGCTGGGATTATAGGTATGGACTGCCCCACCTGGCCAACATTTTATTTAAGATTGTTTGCATTGCTTTGTTTAAAGTCTAGATTGACTCTGCCTCATCTTATACTAAATGGAGTAGGGTGTTTGGTGACGCATGACCTTGGCCTTCCGTGTGTCCTTTTCACCTACCTGTCTCAAGGACCTGGTTTCTTGGGGCTGCAGAACCAGGCACTTGTAGGGAGGTAAGGATGGGATGTGGCCTCATAGACCAGCATGCTGTGAACCACAGTATGGCCTGGAAGCTCTCTGTGTGCACCCACCCTCACCCCACACCTGTGGAATGCGTGCTCAAGGGCGAACTGCCCCAAGTCGGCTCAGTGATACAGCTGGGAAACTGATCAGAGGAACTGCGGGGTCAGATGGGGTTGAGGGTGAAACTAAAGTTCTTTTTTTTTTTTTTTTGAGTTGGAGTCTCACTCCGTCGCCCAGACTGGAGTGCAGTGGCATGCTCCCGGCCACTACAGCCTTGACCTGCTGGGCTTTGGCGATCCTTCTGCCTCAGCCTTGCAAGTAGCCGGAACTACAGGTGCACGTGACCATGCCCGGCTAGATTTTGATTTATTGTAGAGATGAAGTCTCACCAAATTGCCCGGGTGGGTCTCGAATCCTTGGGCTCAGGCAATTCACTCGCCTCAGTCTTCCAAAGTGCTGGGATTACAGGCTGAGCCACTGAGCCCGGCCGAAACGAAAAGTTTTTAAGCAGAGGGATACCCTCAGTGGTACAGAGGAGCCTGGGTCCCAATGAGATTCAACTGTGTGTGTGTGTGTGTGTGTGTGTGTGTGTGTGTATGCACGTGGGTGAGCACTAATGAGGGGGGACTCTTAGGTAATAGCCCCTCTCCCCTTGGAGACAGTTCAAATTCAAAGTGATTTTAGCAGACCAAATCAAAAAGAGCCATAGGCTAGGCACAGTGGCTCACGCCTGTAATCTCAGCACTTTGGGAAGCCATGGTGAAGGGATTGCTGGAGCCCAGGAGTTCAAGACCAGCCTGGGCAATATAGCGAGGCTTCATCTCTACAAAAAAATTAAAAAATCAGCTAGGCATGATGGCATACACCTGTAGTCTCAACTACTTGGGAGGCTGAAGTGGAAGGATCACCTGAGCCCAGGAGGTCAAGGCTGCGATGAGTCACGATCCTGCCACTGCCCTCTAGTCTGGTAGCAGAATGAGATCCCGATTCAGAAAACAAACAAATGCTATCACTACAGAAGGAAGAATAGGGTGTATTGGCAGGGTGAAGGAAAAGATAAAGACGGTTATACTTACCCTACAACCACAATGATAAAGTCTAGTAGATTCCAACCATTGCGGAGGTAAGCGTTGGGGTGAAACAGAAGTCCATAGGCTATTACTTTTAAAAATGCTTCCACAGTAAAAATTATGAGAAAGAGATATTCCACTCGTTCCTAGGGAACAAAAATAGAAAAGAGAAAGATACATCGTGAGGTTGGGGACTTAGAAAGTTTGGAACCAGCAGATCGCACAAGTAGAAGAAAGAGGGTGCTGTCTCTCTGTGGCAGGACCTCAGGGGACAGCAGGGAGGGTGCAACTCCACAGCCTGTTCCACCCACCCACTGGGATTACAGGATTTTGTTTTTGTTTGTTTGTTTTTGTTTGGTGGGTTTTTGGTCTTCAAAGGTCCTCTGTTAAAATGTAAATATTAGGGTGGTGGGAAACAGTTTTATAAACGTTTTATTTAGTTAATCGATTGACATTGTCTCATACCTTCCCAGAAGGGAACTCATGGTGCCTTGATCTAAAGGGAAACGACGCCAGGACAGAAGAGAAGGATGCTGAGAAAGGCGGGGGTGGGGAGGGGAGCGTCACTGGGAAATCGTGCCACGATTCTGCAGGAACAAACCCTGAAGACAGCAAGCTCGGTCTTGGGGAGGGTACCAGCCGAGTGCTCTGAAAGGACAGAGCGAAAACACAGCCCGCAAAGAAATCGAGATGTTGAAGATCTTTCAAGAGCATCCTACACAGAGGAAACCTGCTCACGTACACTGATCAGGACACGTGAAATCTCTTTCTTGAGAAAATAAAACCCTCTGTCCAAACACACAGACAAGGTCAGCAGAGATAGTCAGCATTTGCAGGACGGAGGCAGGTGCTGGGTCGGGGTGGAGAAGGGAGAGGCCTGCTTCTTTCTTTCCCCCAGGGGTGGAGGAGCATCTTTCTCTTCCCTGCCACCCCGAAGAAGGGCTTTGCATTTCAAGATGCAGCTCCTGTCCCTAGGAGCCCACTCTTAGCAGGGCACGCTTGTTGGCTCAATTAGAGCAAGCCAACTCTGTGTGCTGATTCACTCTTCCCTCACCACTAATTGCTTTCCCCCCCACCCCCCCATCCCCAAGCGCAGAGCCTTAATGGTCCCACCAGGCGAAGGCTTCCTGGACGCCTTCTCGCTCCACTGCTCGCATCTGCAGGAGACTCCGCCGGCTCCCACTGGAGCCACAAAACACCCAGCCACACTGCATCCGTGTGCAGGCCCTCCAAAACAGGCAGGCTGCTCCACAGCCCCCAGTAGGACTCCAGCCCCAAACCCCTAGACCCATGTTCCTCTCCCCTGCTGGGCTGAAGGGCATGCTGGTGCATGCATGTGGGAACAGCGGTGAGAGGGTGCTCCAGGCCCACCCACATTCTGGAGATGGGGCACTGCCCACAGAGACCCACCTCCTCCCGCCTGGCCTGCTGGGAGGAGGCTCTGAGGCTGGGGTTATCAGGAGCCTGGTGGAAAGCCTGCAGGGAGAGGTAGGGCCCTGCGCGCCCATTCACTCTATCCCAATGCCCTGGACACTCAGGATGCACTGGCCTTGTTGTGAAGCAGTTTGAGGATGCAAAGTTAAAAACTGCAGAATTCTGGGCCCTATCCAGACCTACTGAACCGCATCTCCTGGCTATGGAGCCTAGAGATGTGTAGTACAATTTCCAGGTGTTTCTGAGGGACCCCGAAGCTTAAGAACCACTGGCCCCTATACCAATGAAGGCCCAGATCAGTCAGAGGCAGTGGGAAGGGAGTGCAGAGGTCAGGTTTGGTCTGCATGTCAGAGGCAGACCAGTCCTTTCCTTCCTGCACATTTCAGCACCATAAAGTTGGTAGGGGGATGTGGCTACCTCAGGGCAGTGACCCAAGAACAAATCACAGCACATGGGAGGTCCAGTGTTTAAATGTCGGGTGATATCAGATTAAAATGTGCATCAGGGCAGTGTTGAAGAGGAAAACATGTGACAAAAGGGCGCAAGGGAACCTGGGGATGTCTGTGGGAGGGGAAGGAGCTGTCAGACAGACACCCAGCCCCAGTCTCCTCACCCCCACCCCATGATGGTTCAGAGCTTTCGTGGCTAGCACCAGATGACAGGGCCACCTCCTTCTGTATTCCCACAAAGTTGGATCTGGCGTGAGAAGGAAAGAAAAGCAGAGGGAAGCAAACACAAGTTGGGTATCCACTAGGCATTGGGTGCTTTCATGTATTTACTTGCATGCTAGTTGCTTTCATAGTTTCATTCACCTGCCCATCTGTCCATCCATCCATCCATCTACCTATCAACCTGTCCATTCGTCTCTCCAATCACCATCCATCCATCCATCCATCCATCCATCCATCCATCCATCCATCCACCCACCCACCTACTCACCTATCCATCCATCTATTAAATCATCCAATCACGTATCCATCCATCCATCCACCCCTCCTTCCCTCTCTCCCTCCCTCCACTACCCACTTATGCATCCATCCAACCATCCGTCCATCCATCCACCCCTCCTTCCCTCTCTCCCTCCCTCCACTACCCACTTATGCATCCATCCATCCATCCATCCATCCATCCATCCATCCATCCACCCATCCATCCACCCACCCATTCACCCACCCACTCATCCACTCATTCATGATCAATGTGGTACAATTAGTTGCATTGTCAGAAAGGGCTCCCTCTGTGTTGTCTAGCCAATGAGCTTTCTGAGAGAGGTAGCACACCCAAGCAGAGTTCTTACTGCCCCTGGCAGGGAGAGCAGCAATATCCCAAAGGCTCTGGGGCACTATATGCTGGGAAGCTGGCATTCCCAGACAATTCTTGTAAACAGATGGTACCCCCCCCATCCAGACTGCCTGGCACCAAGCAGTCTGCTTCTTCCCTCATTGATTGGCTGCTTTCCCTTGTTTACTTGCCCTGTAAAAAGAGAAAGCCAAGGGGAGGCAGGGTCCCTCCACTGGGATACAGACTTGCTATAGGCCCAGCAGCATCCTAGACCTGGCACATCTCTTTGTGAGATGGGGGCATTGGAGGATCTGTGACTTCTCTTGTTGATCTGTGGCTTTTGCAGTTGTTTCCAATAAAGCCTATTTCTTCATTCATGTCGTGTGACATTGGTCCCACACCCTGGTACAGAACACATGGAGTTCCAGAAAGACCCGTCACCTCCAACAGTGATCATTCAATCAAACATTCTCCCAAGCATTCACAAACATGTTTACATAAGTGTTGGGTGCTGAAGCTTTGAGAAGAAAAGGCTCAGAAACCGACCACAAAGATCTCATGGTGCAATGGGGGGTGACTGGACAGATAACTCCAGTACAATGGGTGAAGGGTGTTCTGGAGGCAAGCTCGTTGGCTGTGGATGGACTTTCTGAAGTAAGGATCTCCAGGTTGAATCTTGAAGGATGAAGAGTTGTCAGGGTGAAGATGGTTAGGGGGTGGGGGAAGTGTAGGGAGTGAAGGGGTTGCCAGCATTTCCGGTGGAAGAGACAGGATATGTGGAGAGCGCCAGGTAATGCAAACATGCAGACATTGGATTTGGTTGAGACAACAGGGCTGGAGGACCAGGCAGGAGCAGCAAGATGACTAGGGGCTTTGTGGCCATGCCTGGATGCTTGAATTCTGTTCTGAGGAAACTGAGAGTGACTTGGCACTGGTGATGGGGGTGGAGTGGGGCGGGGTGGGGCAGTGATCTACACAGAAACCACAGAGGCTTTAGCCAAGGTAGAAACAGGGGGGCTGGTGAGATGTAGGTGGATTTGAGATAGAAAGCACGTACTTTGGTTGGTTTCTGGTTGCACGTAGGGGTTGAGGGAAGAGGCAGTGCAGAGAAGACGTGCACGGCCCCCTCCCTGAGGTTTCTAATTTGGGTGGCTATGTGGATGGTGATGCCTCTCGCTGCCGTGGGGACTTTAGGAAGAGGAAGGTGGAGACATCAGTTAAAGACGTGCTGAATTGGAGACATGGGTGTTCAAACCTGCCGAGGTGGAAGGGGGCTCAGAGCAGAGTTATGCTTGCAGGGGAGGGCTGATGGAGGTGGTCCTAGGGAGTGCATTTAAAGAGGGAAGAACAGAGACTCCGATCCAACTCAGTAACGCACAAACACCACCAGCCCCCATCTGAATGCATGCCCTGTCAAAACCTCATCCCCGAAGAAAGCCCCTTCACATCACGGGAATTTATCTCCAGGCAGAAGTTTCAGGACCCTGCTTAGAACACTGGATTCTGGGAGATGGAAGCAATTAAAGGTCATCTAATTAACCTCCTCACCTGAGAAACTAGGATACTGATGGGATACTGAGGCCAGGGAGAAACATGCTGAGGATGGAAACCAGAGTTGTGACCTTCAGTCCAAAGGTCCATTCGGGTTGTCTTGTCCCCCTGGGTATGGGAGAAGGGTTGTTCACTGGCCCCTACTTATCCCCCAAAGACACAACTGGCTCAGACTCACGACCGGTTATTTAAGGAGTGAGATAGAAGAGAAAAGGGTCCAGGGAGCCAGTAAGGAGGGGTCTGGACAAGAATCTAGGAAAAAGGCAGCTGCCTATTGTTGAAAAATCTAGGACACGGGCTCTGTGAATGTGCTGACTGAATATTGTAAAAGCGGTGTTATTTGCCCTAACTTTAAGGGCATGAATGTCCTGACAGAATTACATACCAAAACAAAACAAAACAAAAAAACGTAAACAAGTAGTTTGGTTGATCCCTTCAAAGCATGCATTGTGTTGCTACAGAAACGTCTAAGTGGAGCACGAACAGCAATAGTTTGTCAAAGCCCGCTCGCGCTGATGACACAGGTGCCCCTGGTTGTGTTAATACACAATCCTTATGGCTCTCCTCATGCCTGAATTCTGAAGCCAGAGGTCTGTGTGCCCTCCTGAATCCTGGTGGTCACAGAGCTCGTTGAGAAGGCAAATATTCAACACGGAAGCCGGCCCTTTTTGTGATCTTGGGAACTGGGAAGCTTTGGAAGCCAACCTGGAGCAGACTCAGATTCTATCCCCACTACTCGATGTTAAGGCCGGAGAAGATGGAGCGGGTATGAACAGCTGCGGAAGAGAGGGCGAGCCCCAACATGACAGCATGGAGACACTTCAAAGCTGCAAATGGCCTGGAATGGATTCCCCAGGGCTCCTGGAGACCCATGATGGGT